CCGGGCCCCTGCCACAGGGAAGGTCCCTACCTTTCCGTAGCAGCGGGCTGGGCAGGGACCTGGGAGGAGGTGGGGGCCCAGCACCGCGGAGGGAGGTTGTGGCAGAAGGTGGACGGCAGGGCGGGACTAACGCTCAGTGCACTAGACACACAGCTCGCTGGGCTTGGGACCCCTACGGAACCGCTTGGCGAATTGTCGCTGGGTGCCAGGGCCCCTCAGACAGCTAGGCAGGTTTCGGAGCTGCGCGGGGGAGGGCCCAGAGCAGGGGTACCAGGAGCTGCCGGAGCCAGAGGACGCGTTTCTGCTCCTGAGATGAGCAGGAGGAAACCTGAGGTCACCTCTGATGAAGTCTGCCAAGCGCACAGGAGTTGGAGGAGCAGCAGGCAGTGGAGGGGAGGCCCTGGATACAGGGGTCTGGCTCGCATGGCCAAGCGGGGCCCAAGCAAACGGGGTGTTCCGATAGGGGGCAGCTGCCCCAGGGCCTGGCTATTCAAAAATGCCCTGGGCTCTCAGCTGCCTCTACTACAAAAGCAGCAGCAGGACGCCCGGGGGCGCCCCGGGCTGCCTGCCCCGTGTGCACCAGGCACCTGCCCCTTCTTCCCAAAGCCCTGCCCCCGCCCCCTGCCTGGAACCAGCCCCTTCCCCCTCTCCTCTCCCCATGCCCAAGGGCCTGGAAAGGCTTTTGCCCCACCTACCCCACCTGCATGGCCCCACCCCACCTGCATGCAGGGATAAGGAATGACGGCCATGACGGCCATAGCTACAGATAGGGGGGTGCTGTCCTGAAAGAAATGTGGGGTCCTGGGGAATACGAGCTCCCGCCGGGATGTTTCCGAGGGGTAGGCGTGTTAGTCTGTTTCAGCAATACAGCCTGTTCCTGAGTGTCCCGGCTCGTGGACTGTGTGTAAGCAAGGCCTGGCAGCCTCCCAAGCTCAGAGAGAGCCAGGCATCGTCTTCCAAGACAGCTGGCAGCTCCCTGATGATGTGCTGGAGAGGTTTCAGTGGGCACTAGTGGTGTTCGGTTACTTTCCCTGTGGGGTCTGTCCTGTATCAGGCAACTTCTGGGTACTTGTCCAGTTCTGTCCATCTAATATGGGGTATGTCTACACTACAGCGCTAATTCGAACTAACGCGTCTAGAACTAAAAACTAGTTCGAATTAGCGTTTTCCTAATTAGAAGTAGCATGTCCACATTAAGTGGACCCTGACCCGGGGTTAAGGATGGCCGGAAGCAGTGCCGGCAGGGCATCAGAGGAGGACTTAGAGCGTGGAGCTGCTGTCTCAG